GTGTGGCACGTACACACATGTGGCAGTAATAATGAGACAAGTGCAACATACTTGCAAAATGTCATTTGGTGTCAATAATTCCAGGGACCAGCACCCACCAAAAAAATATGTAACATATATATTCCCATCAAAAACTGTCGTTGGTGGTTGGTTGGGAACACACACACACACACGACAAATTGGCAAATGACAGAAAATTCGGCTAACGATGCGGATACATCTATATGTATATACATGGGAAATGTGGGTAATTTTTCAGGGGTTGTGCCATATAGCTGTGCAATTTCTCAACCTTTTTCTTCAACAAAAATATCTTGTTTACTTGGCACTTGTCGCTCTTGGGGGCGTAGTCTTGGCCAAAACCTTGAGTGAAACTGTAAGAAAGAGCTGACCAAGTTCAAGACTGCGTTTTTAAAGAGTATCTTTGGCCCTGCCCTTCTGCCTGAGCTTAAAGACATTATACAGTATTATTAAGACATTATTAACACAGATATTTATGCGACACAATCTATTTCTTCCTCAGCTGTTTTTTGCATACACATAAATCATTCAAGTCGTTGGCTCTGTGTTTATTTTTTATTAACGATTTTTGCATAATTTATACTAATCAAAAAAGGAAAGAGAAAACAATTAAAAAACAGATTCGTGTCGAGCCCGCAGATTTTTTTTTTTTTTTATTACTTACAACTTCTCCTTAACTTACCTTTCTCTGAGCTGCTAATGAAGTGAATTTCTGTTCGCTTAGTTTTATGTCATTTGGTGGAGGGGCGAGGTAGCAGCCAGTGTTCAATCCAACCAGAAGTTAATTTGATTTTTTATTTGCTGTTTTGTGTGTTTCATTTGCATGCTACATGGCCAGAACACGTTTTCTGATTTTACAAATTCGTTTCGTTTCGTTTCGTTGCTTTGAAGGTATCGCATAACGTTCACATACAACTCATATCTTATGCTTATCTGCACTCAATGGCAACGTTTCATCAAAATGTCAGCGTATATCATAGAAATCAATAAATTTCAACTTGCCAATGCACAGGTAAAAAATATGTATATATGTATATATACAAATTGTTTATCAAATTTATTGTGTTGGCATTTTGCATAAAGTTTGCGACGGGAGTTGTTTTTAACTCATATTTTATAAGAGTCATGGTTGGGTATTAAAACAATGAAATCTTTGAGTGTTTTTAAGAGTATTTTTATCGGAATATTTATTAAATTAAAATATAAATTGTATTTCAGTATAAGAAATAATATATGTATCTTTTTAATACTACAGATATTTCTGTATGTTTCTATTTAATAGAGAGTATTTTCTATACTCTCTTAAATTAAATTAAAATACAAAAGTAATCTACAGCAAATTCAGTTTCCCTTCTCCCAGTTCCACAACCTCACACATGTTTATTTTTCCTAGCCAACCATAAAGTCACACATTAAGCACCCAAGATTTAACAGAATTTGCTCATTTCGCACTAATTTCCAACTAATGCCAGGGGTCTCTGCCTCTGGAAAGGCCAAAGCACTGACCGACCGACCGAACCGCAAGACAAAGGCCAGACTGGACGAGGCAATTGAGTCTCAAATGTTAAGCCTTTTAATCAATTGCCAAAAATACAAGAAGAGACCCAGACAGACACACATGTATAGTATTCCCAAAAGAGGAGATTTTGGCCCGCAAAAATGTTCATTTCGAGCGGCATTAAGTTCTCATTGCGGGGACAGCCGGGGTTTAGTTTTGGTTTTCCTTTCTCGGGATTTTAATGGGACCCAAAATGCTTAAATCCAGCAAGGAAAACTCCCCAATTATAATATAAAAATCAATTTTCCTCGGCAATTACTGTTATGTGGGGGCGTTACAAACAATTTGACCCCCGAAAACGTATTTTCCTCACTTTGTTTGGGATTTTGTTTTTCGCCTCTGCGTTTGCTGTTGCATGTGTAAAATGTATTTGAATATTTGATGACTTTGACAAGTTTGATTCGCTGGGACAGTGACAAGCTGATGGACAAAGGTTCCCAGTCCCCTTCGAAGATATGACATGAAAATTGTTAATGATATATAAGTTTCGTTCTCCGATTTTCCCAACTTCCATCTCATCGGCTTCTATATATCCATCTAATTGATTTCGTTGTGTGTCCAGTCTAGCATGTTACTTAGTCAACGCAGCCTGACAGTTGGACAGTTTTGTAGACCTCTCACCCTCTCGTACCTCGGGTTGTGTGTGTTTATAAAGTCATTACCGGGAGGAGCAGAGGCAGCTAGCCAGCTGGAATTAGTGGATGGAGTTCAAAGTTCTTTGGGTTCTGTTCTAACCTGCACATCATCATCGACAATCAGCGGCACTCTGTGACACTCAGCTACTCTCAGCGCTTTTTTTTTCGCACTTGTTTTGTGTACAGGGGAACTTTTGTAAGAAGAACTTGAGAAAATAGTTATTTATCTGTGACAACAATTATTATATATTTTTTATAAAGTTTACCAAGAATGTCTACCTTATTTAAAGTATAAATAGAGTAAGAATATCAGAAGAATATTTAAGATATATTTATAATATCGATAATTTAACATGTTTAACATTCATGTACTTGAAATCGATATTCTGTTCGATTTTTCCGGGTGGGAAGTATTTATATCATATTTCCTAAACATTTTCTTACTATAATAACAAATATCACAACCGACTTCGTTCCACCCCATCGAAACCACACTGTAATAATTTCTGCTATTGATTTTTATGCAATTTCATTTAATGACAAAACAGTGGCAAACAAAAAATGTTAATTTCTACAAATTTTCACCGTGGCGCCAAGCCAAGGTGACAAGGGATTTGGTTGCACCTCTCCATGTCACGGCTGTCGTCCATAAACGCACACACACCACACACCGCACACACTTGGGCACACGTGGCGCGGCACTTGGGCGCACGTGCCCCGCCCCCTAGGCCGCCCATCTACCGTTAGAGACATTTTGCCCGATCATGTTTGGGTTAATGAGTGGGGCGTGGCAGGGCGGCCCGTTGATTGCCGGTTCAACTTGCAACGCAAGCGAGCTCGTGGCAAGGCAAGCTTTTTGGAAAGTCATTCTGAAGAATTTAATTTCTTGGATTAAAGAATAACAATTTATTTAATTTAAATTTAATTTAAGAATTTTAAAAAGATACGAAAGAATATTTTATAATTTATTTATATGAATATTATTTCTTTCTTAAATTATTTATTTAAAGAAGCTCAAAGCTTCAATTACTCCTAAATAAATACCAAAAGAACCCCATTTAGTTTCTTTTACAGAACTCTAACCCATAATTCACTTGAAAAATATGTTGAATTTTAATGGTTTCATTTTCAAATCGATTTCCCTTCGCCGGCATAAATCAATTCCGTGCTTGGGCCCAGCCCACCCACGCCCCTCCAATTAAGTGGCTCAAATATTTACAAACGCCCCTTCGGCAGCAGGCAGCCAGCCAGAATTTAAATATTTTGTCACTGTTTGTTGGACACCCGACATTTAACCTTAGCCCACAACAAGTCTGCTCCTCATCAGACTGCCGACTTCCCCATTTATATATATACATGAGAGAAAGAGATCCACAGCTGCGTCAGCATCATTTACATTCAAATTAAAACGAAAACGACGAGGAAAAACGCCAAAAAGGAAATTTATGCCAAAGGGAGCCAAGGCAAGACCCCAGAAACCAGAGTTTCTCATCTGGCAAATGATGAGTTTGTTACCATTTTCAGTGGCGGGGCAGGCGGCGCAGCTCTCTGTTTGTTTTGACACTTGGACTACATGGATCTGTGGCGGCGGCCTATAAATTAGCCCCTGACATTTGACATATGTATATAGTATAGTATAGTGGTGGCTCCTGTAAAGATCACCGCCTGGCGATAGCCTAATGTTTTGTTTGTTTTTGTGATTAGTTTGTAATTAACTGGAGGGCCGAGATCGTTCATCAGAGATATATCTGCAGCAGGTATAATTTTTTTTGGCAATTGGTAAAAGGTGCCAGATAGACAAATGCCGATAGCACCTTTTTCAATGAGTTCACCATATAATTAGAGGAAGTGTATGGTTATATATATTCCTCCACGAGATGTTTATCCCCCAAGTTAATTTCTTTATAATTAGGCAAAGAGCTTGGGCCCTTCTCTCTCTCTCTCTCTCCTGAATATAGTTATCAAAAATGTTTGGCCAATCATTTCTGATTAGTTCGGGCTCTCAATCAAAAAGGGGAAACCATAGAATGAAGCATGGAAATTTCCCAATTTTCATACGCTTATCCACACCAGAAAACTGAGATCCAAAAACCCGGCCCAATCATCCATCAAGACTCCACTTAAAACTCCCAAAACTCCGCTGCTTCTGCTGCTGCTGGCGTGTCAATCGAATTTTCTGGGCAACACAGAGAGTGAGAGAAAATGAATTTCACTTTGAGTGACCATGAAAATGCATTCGTTAAACACTGAAGCTGAGGCTGTAGATGTATCTGAAGCTGTAGTTGTGTATCTGTATCTGTATCTGATTCTCCCCTAGCTGCTTCTCTCAGACATTTTCAATTTGTTCTGCCGGCAAGGCGACACTTGCACCCAAGGAATTACGCCTATGTGGAACAGGATATGTGTTTGCTGCGTCAAGGATTGTTGGCTGAGAAATTGAAACAGGATTTCTGGCTACTTTGCATAGCTGTGAAGAGGCCTTATAATGCGTAATTTATGGGGAGTATTTCATTTCGTGTTTTTTATTGAACAAAAGTATCGGGTAATTTGAGTCAAAAGGAAACTGGAGATGAAGGGGAAATTGTTCAAAATATATGTCAGCTATAAAAAGACCCTGCATTAAAGTGTAATAATATTAAATATTATTAAAATAATCCCTATTTTTTGTAGCTGAAAATATCTATAGGAAAAAATTGAAATTAAAAAGATCTTGTAGATTTTTTGGTTCACATATTTTTATTCATTTTTGATTTATTTTTTTTATTTTGTTTTTGTTTGTGTGTTGTTTTTTGTAATTTTTTTGTTTAATAATTTTTCTTGAAGTATTTTTTCCGTGTTTTTCACTTGTTTTTAGCTTTTCACATTGAATACAGATTATGGTTTACTCTTCTTTAATTTATGCTAAATAAATCTTCTCGCTTTCGCCGCATAAATAGAACTAACTGAAGCGTCTATGAATTTATTGTTAATACTATAAATATATCATTAGATGTAATAGCATAACTAACGGTTAATGTTTACACTATATAGCTATATATAGTTTACAAATCGTGCTGAGTTTTTTTGTATTTTTATATATATAATTTTTTTCTTGCTTATTTTCTTTAAACTTTTGAGTGAATTTTGTTCTAACTTTACACTGAGATGAGTTTTCGAACAATATTATGAAACATTTGTACAATAAATTAAACTAAATTATGTAAAAAATTCTCTAAGGGGAAATGTGAGAAGACAACTGTACAGCTTAAAAATAATTCAAAATTTTTACAACAAATAGAGAAAAGTGTTTTCTTGTTTTTAGCTTTCTTTATAAACAACAAATAATTTACAACATTTAAACGAAGTTTTTTTTTAATCTTTCTTTTAGTTTACTGCATACACTGAGGCAAAAAGTGGTGGAAAATCTTGGTAGTTTAAGGGAATATTTGTATGGGCTTTAAATTTATATTGAATATTTTTTCTTGATACTTTTGAGATACAGTTTTTGTTCAAGAAATTTTAAAAGTACAACAAAAATTTTAATAAAAACAAATTTAGATGCCAAAAAATATATTAACTTTTTTATTTCTTTTAAAAATAAAACAAAATGTTAATATTACTTTTTAGACAAAACCTTTTTTCATTCACTTTTTTAATATTTTTTTTCGACTTTTTTTTTTTTTTTTACTAATTTTCTGATTTAAGCACAACTTTTTACCTCAGTGTTTATAGTTTTTTTTAATACTGCTCTTGGCAAGAAATTGAGGGCTTTTTAGGGGCGGCTACCACCTAGTGGGCGGGGCTGCGCGAGGGCGTCACCGCCGGCGGTGAACCGGCAGCCGAGGAGGGCGGCCCCTGACCCCCGGGCAGCTGATACGGGCTGAACCTTTGATACTGACGCGGTCGCATATCCGGCGACGGTGATCCCGACGAGGTGGACGACGGCGTTGACGCGGTGGGCGGGGGTGGGGGCGTCCTGTTGGCAGCCATTGCTGCAGCAGCTGCGGCCGCTTGCGCCTGCGCTTGAGCTTGGGCAGCGGCTTGAGCGGCGGCCGCCTGCTGATTGGCGCTGGCCAGGAACCCGGCCGTCAGCTGAGGCCACTGCTGTTGGAACATGTGAAAGGCTCCCAGTCCGGGGGGTGGGGGTGGAGGACCTGCCGCTGCTGCTGCCGCCTGGTACATCTGCGGCATCATCAACTGGGCGTAGGGGGAGTTGCCGCCGAACATTTGCAAATGCTGGCGGGCCTTCTCGAACAGCGCCATCGAAGCGGGATCACCCTGCTGGGCGGCAAACTGCTGCATCAGCGGATCGGGGAATAAACGCAGGGGGGAACGGAGTTGCTGCTCCAGCAACAGAGCCTCCATGGGATCCCTATCGAAGTCCGTTAGCCGCGAGGAGTCACGGAAACCCTTGGCAAACGGATTCGAGTCGATCTTTAGCTTGGTGATCAGCTGATTCTGATAGGCCGTGACTGCGGTAAACACAGTCTCCGGAAAGACGTAGGTTTTATGATCCAAATCCTGAAGCTCCTTGGGATTCGAAGGAATGCTCTGGCCATGGCTCAAACGAACCAAGTGAATGCGGGGCTGATAGCGATGCATAGAGTTCAAAACAATCTGGAAAAAGATTAGAGAAAAGAAAGAGGGTTTTATTGTAGTATTTCTGTGGGAGTTTGGACATTTTGCACTTAAATTTGAGTTAGAAAAATGATTGATTTGGGTATTAAAGATACTTTTAATTGACTTTCAGATTTACTTAACATTATGTAAGCTACAACTGAGTATTTTCCCACTAAAATTAAACCTTCAGCAGTCTTTCCAACTCTTAGTATCTTGATATTTATGTATTCACATTGCAAAATTATCAATCATTTAGCACTCGCCGCTAATCGCTACCTCAGCATCTCTCAGTATGTCTGGGTGTATCTCAGATAAACGTGTATCTTGGCGTTCTCGCAACTCACCTGTCCATTCTTATCCATTTCGTTATTAGTCAGCTTCACCTTCTCGAAGGAGATAACTTGTTTGCGCAGCGCCTCGCAGCTGAAGGGACTGTCGGGATGGGCGTAGAGGCGGGCTGGTGGGGCGGGATCGGCCTTGCCGGCCACCAGCCAAGCGGACCGATGGTAGGCATACCGATACCGCTTCGAGTCCATGGGTATAATGTCCAGGAGGACGGCATACCGATCGGCGGGCTGAATTTGACGTAGCGGACCCGAGAAACTCACGCGCACAGTGGGGAACATGCGTCTGAAAAGGAAGGTAGAAAAAGATTTTATTAGATTTTTCTTCTTTTTGATATTCAGGTTGGGGTATTTGCCACACACAGCTAGTTAAGTCTGGAATTTATAATCCAAAGAGCTAAAATTCTATACTTGTATTTACTATTTAAATTGTTTATAAATGTCTATAAAGGCTTAATTTCTAACCATTTTAATCAAAATATTGTTAAAGGATTTAAAAAAGATTTAAAAAAAACACAAAACAATCGATTAGATACTCCCTTTACCCATTCATTCACCTTAGGGTTTTCCGCCACACACAGCTAGTTAAATCTGAAATTTATAACCCCAGCTAAGGGCAGGTTTTTCCTCTTTCACATTATTTCCTAAATATTTTCTCCCCCATTTCCCTTTTGCTTTGACAAGTGCACACAATAAACACAAAAGCCAAACTCTTCCTACCTCTAAGTCGCTTTGAAAAAAAGTAAAATGAAACTATCTCGCCTGTGTATCCTGTGGTTTAATGTCCCTCCAAAGCCGGTGACATAACCTCGGGCTAAAAAGGGCGAGGAATTTCGTTACTGGGACCGCCCTGATGGCTGCCCAACTGTCTACGACTCTGAGGTGTGATTTTTACAATATCATTAAGGTGTGCGTTGTACCTCTATGCGTGTGTGTGGTCAGAGTTGCTTGGGTATATGTATATCTATGTGGGAGCACAAGGTGTGGACAACCCGTGGTGATTGGGATTGAACTTGTTCCCATTCTACCCGCTGACAACAGCAACGCCCATAACTCTGATTTTCCTCAACATTTCTACGATATTTTTGGTGCAGAAAATTCGGCAGCAGCATTTGCAGGTATAGAAAAAAATCGAAGAGACCCCACAAGCGGTCCCTGAGATGGCATGAAATTATTGTTGACATTGCAAACCATTTGGTGTTTGCCAATTTATGGTGTTGCCAAAGAATGTCATTTGTAAGAAGGAAATCTATAATGGCCCAGACAGTTGACATTTTTAAAATAAAAGAATTTGCAAGAAAAGTGATGAGCAAATGATATTGTGGGAAATCTTTAGAAAGAGTGATCAGCAAAGGAAATATCTTAAAAATATAGATTTTCATAGATTTTCCTAGTATAAATTTGAGTTCAATGAGAGTTTATATAATTTATATAATTAAAAATACGTTAAATTGATATTTCACCCCCACCAAAACTCTCCCACGTCGCTCCATTCGTTTAAACTAATGCCTGTTTGCACTGCACTGACTGACTGGAGACTGATGGACGGATGGATGGGTGGCTGCTTCGTTGCTTAGATAATTTCGATTCTCTTTGGATGCTTACCTGCCCGTTTTGGTGATGATCATCTCGGTGCCCAGCTCGTGAAAGCGATCCCACAGCTCTTTGGTCTCCAGATGGCATTGCACTGGCTTCAGTTCATCGCAATTGCAGGAGCCAACGATTTTGGGTGCCTTTTGCACTGGTTCCGGTGTTAGACGCTCCTCACTGTCCTCTGTACCGGGGGATTGGGGTGGTGTGGAGCAGCGTCCTTGGCTGCTGGTGGAGCTGGTGTTTAGTTGGGATTCAGAGGGAATTGCTGCTGTTGTCAGAGTCACGGCGCCGGCGCTGTTCCGACTCTTGTGTGTCACATTATTGTTGTTGTTGCTGTGATTGTTGTTGTTATTGTGGTGATTGTGACTGTGACTGTGATGGTGATGCTGATGATGGTTCAAACGGCGAGCCTTTGCTGGCGGCTCTTCGGCATCGCTGCAATCAACCACATCCACATCAACCTCATCCTCCACCGAAATGGGACCTTAAATGACAAAGAAAGCAAAGCGAAAATTGAAAATTAAATCGGGAATTAAGGGGTTTAGTATAAAGAGGAAAAGTAGCTAGCTTAAAAAACTTGAAAAGTATATTAAAGAGAGCTTTAAAAAAGAATAAAAACTGAGTTTAATCTAATTAAGTTGTATTTAAAACTTAAAGGAGCATTTCAAGTATTGAAAAAAAGAATGTACAGGAGAAATATTTCGGATTAACTTTAAACTATATAATATGAAATCTATAAAGAATTTCAACTTGAGTTTGCGTATAAAATACTTTTTCTTTTTTAAACAATATCCTAAACCCTTTAAAACTACACTTTGCTCTTGTATTTCACAATTTCTCCATTGTTTGCTGTACAACATTTTCTTAAATTTTTTCTTAGCCACTTTTCCACTTTTATTTGGCCAAAAACTAAGGCCGTTTTACTGCCGCTGGTGACAACATTGAACTGTGGCTGTGGTAGAGCTCCCTTCGCGGCAGACAGCGTGGAGTCGTCTCATATTCTTGGAGTTTCCGCTTCGCTTCGCGTTACAATGAGACAATGAGACGGCCGCTCGCGCTTAATTGGCAAACTGAACACAAATTGGCAATTAAACAACCCGAAACTCTAGCTGCGATTGCTCTTTTTAGCGGGTTTCGCGGGAGGTAGCCGTCGCATTGCATAAACGCTGGACAGAGAGATAATGTACTGCCTTTCAAGGTGTGTGCTTGATGAATAATTTTTTTTGTGGGTCAGCCCTAGGCGAAATTTCAAGCCCTCTTCTCGCTTTCAACTCAACTCAAAGACCAACTGATTAGCTGAACCAATAAGCCCGATTTCGCACTGAGCCCAGACGTTGGTAGGTGTTAAAATGCAAACTAAGCAAACGGAAAACGACCAAAGAATCACGAAAGTAAACAAAAAAAATTTATATATATTTAAATACACACAACCGAAAGGCATATAAATAAATAAACTTAATAAGCTGCATATTTTTTGATTAAAAGATCATTAAGTATGGCTAAAGATTTTAGTTATTGCTTCTTTCCCTGACTTTGTTTTGATTGCGGCCGTCGCTAATTTTCTGCGCCTCGTAAAATTAATAAAATGAAGCTTCACATTGTTGAAAATTAATTAACATAATTAGCCGCTTTTGTTTGGAGTAGTCCCCCCGACGGAAATGTGAATTCCACGCGATTAGATGCTGTGCACAATTTGCATATTATCGGCCATAAATGAGCGCAAGTGTGTCTAGCTATCTTTCAGATACAGCTTGTATCTTTGTGTATATATTTATCGGCAGCGATCTTTGGCTTGGCTTAATTGCGGATGCCGTCGGCTGGCAAATTGTTGCAAGTGTCGACGCTTTTTTTTCTCTATTTACTTGAACAAACTAGTTATATATGACCGCCGCCTGGCCTGCTAATTGTCAATGGCAATTAAATCGATTTCTGCGCACCCAAAGCGGCAATATTTATGTATTTAATAGATTTGTTGTGCAATCAATTAGCAATTGTCATTCAATGAGCTTAAAAGCGCATTAAGAGTGTGGGATTTCTATATTTAAGTGATTGGAATCTCACGAAAAAGGTTTTAATTATTTATTTATGAATATTATTAGCTTGCACATGTATTTTGAAGTGGAAAATAAATATGAAATAAAGTAACAAAGGCACGTAATGCATTTTATTGGTTTAAAGAATTAAAAAAAATATTGTTTACTTGGTATTCGTAATTAAAAAAAAAATTCAAATTACTATCAAAAACACTTATGGATTTTAGGACATTAAATGCACACTTCGAAGAGTGGACTTGCCTTTCTTATACTCATTTTTTGAGATTTAAAAGGGAAGTAAATTAAAAAACACAAGTTTAGTAAGCTAACGATGATAAATATTTTCCAAAGATACTACTTGGGACTGCATATTGAGCTAAAAACAACAAAACTAATTAGAAAACTTAACTGAAGACATCTTTAACATCAAACAAACTTAATTTTAGCAAGATTATAAATAATTTCTGAATTTTAGGATGTTAAAAACAGATTTTAAACCAGTTTTAAAGTTAAATGATGTTCTTTCCATAACTACAAATGTAATTTATTAAAATTCATATATCTAAGATAAAATTCAATTGTCTTTTACTATATTACACAAATCTTAGCTTCATTTTCCAACTGTTTTCCTATATTATTATTAATTTCAACAAATGTATCTTCAACTTACTTGCACTGCGAATGGAGGACTCCCGACTGGAGGCATCTTCGCGGGCCATTATGGCGGCTATGGAGAAATCCGTTGCTGAGCCGGCGGCACTTTTGCTGCCCGCCGTCGTTGTTGTGGTTTGTGTCGTGGCAGCGGCCACAGGGGCAGCGGGGGCTCCATTGCACAGATACGGATGCGAACCGACCAACATTTTGGCAGCGGTTTTCTCGAGTTCCTTATTGCTTAGGATATTTTCCTTCAATTTATTTCGATTTTTTCTTTGGTATTGTCAACACACTTGGCACTCAGGAAAATAGCTGCATTTTCACTATTTAAACACTTGTGTATCTCTATCTTTGTATCTAATATCTTTTTGGGAGGCTGAGTATCTCACAGATGTGTGTATCTTTGTAACTTTGTATCTGTGTGTGGCGCACGCGAACTAAACTGAGCGCGGAGGGAGAGAGCGTGTGTGTGCACAACGGTTGGCAGGCGACGGCTAACTGAATTGTGTCAGGAACGTGTTGCCGCTGAGAAGCCAAAAAAGACGTCCGACGGCAGAAGGCAGGCAAAACTCGGGAAACCAGTTTTCCCTCATGCCTACCCTGCGGCAGAGCAAGCGGGACAACACTCTAGCGGCCCGTGTATCTGTATCTGCATCCGCCAGGCCTAGGCAAGTGCAAGCAGGACAGCTGTATACTGGGTCGAGTGGAAAGTCATCGGAGTGAGCGCTCTCTCGATTTCCAATTGGAAAAGCAGCGGGGGACAGAGAGAGACAGAGCTTGTCAGCGCGTCATAACTCATTTACAATTAAAAATGTCGGCGCTTCGCCGGCTCTCTCGCACTCACCCTCTCTGTCGCACATCATCTGCCGGCCTGCTCGCGCCCTGTATCTGTATCTGTATCTGCTCGCCCGCTCTGGCGCATTTATGAAGTGCCAACGTTTCGCTTGCGGTTTTTCTTCATTTCTTTTACGCTCTGTGTATTTTTTTCCTTTACAGACAACTTTTCGCCGTGTCGTCGCATTCCATTTCCTGTTATCTCCTCTCTGTCTCTCTGCCCTTGCCAAGTTGCCTCCTCGTCTTGCCTATTTTTCTGAGTGTGTTTCACTTGTTTTCCAACACGTTCCTACTCGGTTGATGTTTTTGAGTGAGTTTATTTTCGACTCTGTGTTTGTTGTTGGAGGCTTGATTTGGCTGATTTTTTGTGCAGTTGCATCCTTCTATCTTCTTTTTTTTCTTACCATTTTCCCCATTTATTTATTTGCAAGGACATGGACCTTGAGTCAAGGTTACCCCGCAGCAATCTCATGCGGGCAATATTTATAACAGTTTTATGCAGTTTGAGAGTTAATTTTTATTTGAAATCAATTAAATTTTGTATTTATTATTTTAAAGGTTCTTAATTCATTTATTAGAAAACACATTTTATATAAAGAAAAACAGAATTTATTAAAAAATACATTTGAGAATCTAGTACTAACTCAAAATTTATGCAATTACATTTTCATAAATAAATAAATTCTGAATTTGTAATCCATTTATAATTAAAAAAAGGTAAAATTATTAAAAATAAATTTCTTATGTTGAAATTATTGAAAGTACATTATTTAATAATAGTAAATAGCCTTGTTTTTATTAATAAATAATAAGAACTTGGCCTTTCATAAAAGTACCTTTTCCTTAAATTGGAATATTTATAAATTTTATTAATAAATTTAAAATGAAAATTTATCAAAAGAAGCAAATAAATTACAATAATTTTTATTTATTTTAATATATTTGTGAACCCATTATAAACAACTCAAAACCTAACCAACCCTCCACCCTTTTACGCTCTACCTTCACTCTATTTTTACCTCTTTCTAAGCAAACCTTCACTTATGGCGACCAACCACCGAATAACTTAAACTCCCTGCAGCGGAACCATTAAAAAACAAATAACAGGGATCCGGGATATCTCCTCTATATATTGCAACGCCCCATCAATACAATCGTATTGCCATAATTACGCATATTTTTGAAATTACCATATTGTGACAGGGCTCACCTCCCCGGAATATTTACAGATGTCAACAAATCGTTGGATTTCCCAGGCCCAAGTCAAGACCTTTGTCAGTGCCAATTAACCTGGAACGCCAAAGTTGAGTTGCTAATAAAAAGCCAAGGAAAATTCGTTGGGAAAACGCACCAACTGACAGACAGTTCGTCAAATTCATTACGCCAATTTAAAGGAAAGAATCCAACGAGGTCCCAACTAACTAATCCCGCTTATCCTGTGTCCTGATGTGTGATTTCAGTAATTTGAGACATTTTCTTTTGTACAAAGTGGGCATGTCACTGTGACACTTTCACCCGGGGAAATGCGTCTTGTGTGTTCCTCCCCATATGTGTGTGTGAGTGTGTGTTTTTTTAGGTGGCAGTCGCGTATGTCACCAAAATGTCAAAAAGCCAGCGGAGGAAACACACAAGTTGGGAAAACAAAGGGAAAGCCGAAAGGCCACTTGGCACTTGTAAAAATAAACAATTTTGCTTGTTAATTAGTGCGGCTAACTGCCCTCGTTTGACTTTCTCCTTGTTATGCTGAACATCAAGTACTTGAGAGAAATACTTGGCCCTTGGCTTTGTCGGCAAAATTATAGTATATATGGGGGTTTTGTACATATTTCTTCCTTTCTTTGTTGCTGTCCTGTTGCGATCTTTAACGATCTCTTTGGGTAATCGAACACTTTCACTTTGATTTTGGCCGCAAGGAGACTTGAGGAATTATCTCTGGTCAGCGAGAAGAGAGAGAAAAAGGACAGATTTATGCTATGATTTAGTTAGGAAAAGCATGTACTTGAATTTTCAGGGATTTTTCTCTATATTATTTAAGGATTTTCTTTATAAAAATAATTTTTTTTAGCTTGAAATTCAGCTTAGAAATACTTAACTTCTAAATATTACTTCTAAGTTAATAAATTGAAGAGGCTAACATTGAAATTAACCAAGATTATATCTTTTTATTTTTTTTATAAAATAATTATCACACTAATATACCCAAAATATTAAAAATAATTACCCTTTTTTGTAATGCCAAGATTAATGATGACTAATAAGAGATAGCTAATGTTTTGAGCTGTATTGAATTTCCATTTTCTCGCTGGAATTGTTTCATTTTTCACTTTGCTCACTTGAGTTTCCCTTCGTTTCCCTTTGTCTGCAGCATTTCCGCTTCTTAAGTTCACTTGGCGGGGCTTCGGCTTTAAAGGGTTCTCTATCAAGAGGGTTTCAAGTGGGGGGCACGTGTTCATATTATATGTTTTTATTTTTATTTCGTTTTTATACTCATTTTCAGTTTTTTGGGGGGTGAAAGACGAGGAAGCAGCGGTGAGTTTCCGCTTGGCACTTGCTTCAATTTCCAATCTGCCCGATAAGCATTAAAAGCGGAAGCAAGCCAAGCACTAAAGAGTTTCTATTTATAAGGCGGAATTAAAGCAACATGTGTGCCTTGCATGGAAGAAATTCTATACCTTCAGCTTACATGAATTTAAAATATTTTGTAAAATATAAAACTAATCTTTTAAGCATTTTAAAGTCTTAAAATTTAATTATAAAGTAAATTCTTTAAGATTCTCAAATCACATTAGGCATTTCCCGCTTTTCGGTGCCGCTTTGTCTGGCCAGGACATTTGCCAATCATCTTGCATCTTTCACGCATTTCCCTCATGTCCTGTGGCCAGGATCTTTTGTTGTCCTGGCCAGCCTGCAAATATTTACCAAATATTTTCCATTATTTTCAGTTGTACGCCCACAAAAAAAAATATATGTATGATTTCTGGGCGGCGGCAACCGGTTTTGTGTGCTTGTTGTATGTATTTTTCTGGTTGTTTTGTTCTGGAATTTATTAATGAAACTCATTGGGTTGGGTTTTGCTTTCTGGGCTTTGCCCTGGGGACTTGGCTTGGTGTTTTTCTCTCCTTGTTTTGGGTGCATCTTCAAAAACCCGGAGCCGACGCTTTGATAAATGCCCGCACTGGCTACCGGGCTCAAATATTTTCCCCCTTACTTTTCCTCGTGGCCCGGTAGCAATTCCGCTAAAAGTTGGGCTCTCTTTTTCGTGTAATTTGTTTACTGAAAAAATATACGAAAAAAGGAAACAAAAACCACAGAGAGTTGGTGTGGAAAATAAGGGAGTTTGGACCGCAAGGAATTGTTGCAAATTTTCTGGGAATTCCTTTTTGCATTTGCCATAAATCTTTGCTAGTTCTCGCTCTTTGCATGGGATTTTGTGTGTTTGTTGAATGTTTACACTTGAAAATAGAGGAAAGACTTGAGAACTCTAATTAATTTTATAAATAAAGACTTAAACGGAATATATATTCTATATATAAGAAAATTTTTAATAAGTTTTAAACATTTTTTTCCAGGAAATACTTGATTTTCAAAGATTACATAAATACCATATAAAGCCAAAAATTATTTTGTACATTTTGTTTTATGATAAATTTTAAATTTACTGGTTTCTTCTATTCAAAATCAATTTGTTTTGTTGTGCTTAATTTTCTCCCAGTGCATCTGTGTGCGCAGTAACAATTGTCACACCTTTCGGCGGCCACTCAGCAGCCTCCCTTTCCTCCTTCCCCCTTATCCTTAACCCAACCACAGTGTGCACTATATACCGTATATATATGTGTGTAATTTGACTCATTAACAATCCGAATCCGAGCCTCAATCTCTGGTCTGGCCCTGTGTCTGTGGTGTTTCTGAAGGGTTTTCGGCCTGTCTATGCCACATAAATCACAACTTAAACGATGCGTAATTTTGTTAAATAACTTGAAGCACCCTTTGTCCTCCCCTCTGGTCCTTTTGTTTTATTTATTTGTTTTCCCCCTTTATTTTTTTGGGTTAGTACTCAAAAAAAATTTATGTCATTGTCGGGCAACGCCTGGTTTTCGGTTTTTTTTGTTGGCCTTTTTTATTTTTTGTTCATTTTCCTCACTGCAATTGGAGCTTAATCTTCACTAACCGCCCTGTGCCACGCCCCTTTTGTGCACCTTAACACTAAATTTACATAGCCAGCTGGAAGCGGCTCTTGCCACAGAGTTCTTCGCTTTTTATGGCCCAATTACAGCTGCCGATTTCACATTGCAAATCCCAGCAAGCAGCTGCGAAATATCCGCAAACTTTGGAGATTGGAGGATGGAGCTCCAGCTCCAAGATGTCGGAGATTAACCAGACAAGAAAGAGTCCATATAATTGAAGCAGGCGAAAGGGGATCACTTGAAGCTGG